GCAAAAATGTCGTAAAAATCACAATATAAGGGCTATGCTTGGACTACACTTGCTTGTGAGCTTTTCTCTGTAGTTCCCATCAAAAGATCAAAACCTGATCAGTGTATAGCTGGGTGGGCTGGGGAAGAGGGAGGAGAAAGGGGAAGAAAATGTGTAACAAAAGGGAAATAAATAAGAAAAAATCTCAACCCCAAACCTGATCAGTCCTATACTTCTCATAGTCCATAAAACAAAATCAAACCAGGTGCTCAAGGTGTCCTTTTCCTGGTCCAAATCCTGCGTTCCCATAGTGAAGAATCACAGAATGATGGTGTAAGTTCTAACTCTAGGAAGTCTCCAGTAAAGACAAAGTCTTGATCTTGAAATTACATCTACTAGGTCTTATTCTTCTGGGGGAGCTCTCTTAGACGCAAGGAGCTACGCTGCCAATCCAAAGGCATACAGTTCAAATCGAAAATATAATCTCCACAGGTAGAAAGATGGGCAGCCTGGTCCTGTGTGACTTACAGACTCTGAAAACTCCCTGGAGGGGCAGCTATGAGTCAGTTCCAACGCAACGGTATCAAACAGCAACAACTGGTCTTATTTTCCTTCTACTTGACTCTTGAGGTTTCACTTGGTCAAGGAAATGTAGCTATTAAAGAGACTTCTCTAAACCAAGCAAACATATAAACACCTTCTGTTATCACCAAAGCAGGTATTTCCATTTAAGTAAAGAAATAAAGCATTTTGTGTGTGACATTATTTGTTGTCTATACTAACAAAACTTGGGAAAGAACTCCAAATATCCAGTAAAGGGAATTGTTTAAAAAGTAATATTTATGAAAATGGAGAAAATAATCATGCTATAAATATTAAGTGGAAACCTGGATATAAACAGTGTATGTTATGATCTTAACTACATCAAAAAAGCCTATCTAGCTATATCAACAATAGCAATTCATTGTCATCTAATTGGAACCAACTCATAGCTGACCCCTCCCTGTCAGTAGATTTTCTGAATCTGTAAATCACATGGAAGGAAAATACTAATCCTTCTCCCATGGAGCAGCAGCTATCGGATTTGAACTTCCTGACTTTGGATTGGAAGTACAACTCCTTAGACTAGAAAGAAATCCATTAAAATTGTAACATTATGTTTCTTAGAATTTTTTTATTATAGGAAATTTCCCCCTATATCATTTTACTTACCAAGTTTTTTACCCTGATGAAATGTATATGTGTAAAAGGAAAAAGAAATATATTTGAAAGAAAATATACCCATTTAGTCATCTTTGGGTTGTGTATGTTTTAAGTTTGTAAAAACAAAACCAAATACACAAAAAAATCCTCCCTAACTGCTATGTAAAGTTTAGCTATGGAGAAAGTTTCTTAATAATATAAAATCAGTGGAAATGTACTCCACAGGACATTCAACTATAAGCAACAGAAGGGTAGCACTTGCACTGAAACAGAGAAGGCAGCTAGGGGGCAGGTGTGAAGGATGAATGGAGAGAAATGAGGGTGGAATCCCCAGAGGAAAGAATACTGTTACATTTAGGGGACTAAAATCAAAGGTAAGAAACAAAATGTATCTAAATTGTTGTATAGAAAATCAATTGGCTTGGTAAATTTTCATGCAAATTACAATTAAAAAGTGAAAATGGGGGGAAATGAGAATTCTAAGCACTTTACACTTTTTTGTTGACAGTTTATGAAGTCTAGAGCTATCCAAATGCTCAAATTTACTTAATCCTTCTAAATTTTACATGTGACAGCACTACAATGTTCATAATGACATTTGATTGTCAAAAATATCTTGTGAGGTAGATAAGTGGCGACTCAAGGTCAGTGACTGGCCCAGTAAGAATTAATAACGGAGCTGGGATCCAAGTCCAGTGCAAATTCTATTAGGTGAAGGTTGATGATGTTAGCATTGCCCAATCACTGTGAGGCAGGAGCAGTGAAACCATAAACCTGCAGTGGTTCTGTTCCTCGAGGAACCCCAAAGTAGGAGAATTCAGCCGAGAAAATGATCATTTTATGAGGGAGGGAAAAAACAAAACCCAAAACCAAAAATACTCAAAGGCAGGGTAAGTGAAGCAGCAAGTGAATTCTGAAAGCCCTCATAATCTTTTCTTTTTATGCTTAGTGAATTAGAACAATAATAGCATACTGCATCAATAGAATGAGAGATTCCATAGCTTAAATTAGTGAAAATGATAGGCCCAACAGTTTCCAATTAGGCCCCCCCAGATGATTTCCAGGGCTCATGAGAACTATCACGCTTTATGGTAGTGGAGAATGGAAAAAGTGATAACTGAGAAGCAATGACAGAGATTCCAATCATAGATTCCCATGCTTCCAGAGTCATCTAAGTCCCTTCTTGAAACAGAAACAACTTATTTGCGGCTTTAGCTCTATCAAGCAACTCCATTTAAGTGGCATGAATGAATAACTCTGACTCTTCAGATTCATTTTTTTGTTTTTACCCGAAGGTCTTTTTAAAGATACTCTAGCATTTGTTTGGGTAGTTAATTAAAACCACTCAAACTTTGTCTGAAGGCAGTTGATAAGTTGTCCAGCAATATTAAATTGCAGGATTTAAGTTTTGCTGAAATAAGATTCTTCTTTCTTTAAAAATCTCAAAATATTTCTTTAGAGAATTCTACTAAACCATTTAACTCTTATACAAGTAAGATATAACATGTAAATGTTTCAACTTTTATTGTTTTCTTGTTCTATAATTTTGTTCCTGTTGCTTATTTGTTCTACTGTTATTGTCTTGTGTATCATCCAATCAGAAGAGACTCAGAGCTGGCCCTCTAAAGGGTTTTCAGAAGTCATAAATCACACAGAATGAGATTGCCTATCTTTTTCCTGCACAGCAGTGGGTGGATTTAAACCTTGTGCCTTTTGGTTGGCAGAACAAACCATTATCACTAGGTCGTCAGAGCTCCCATAGCCTAATAATTATTATCATCAACACTTAAGATGATCATTTTTAGGATACTGGGAAATTCCAAGGATCAACCCTTTATCAGCATGGTATCACTTGAACTAGTGTCAACAGGTTCAGACTTAACTTTAACCAATGATAGCTTCTGCATCAAATGTTTAGCCTCATCCATAAAGTCTTCTTTCTCCAAAGATCATGAAGTAGACATTTAGACAAAGGATCTTCTGTAAGATTCTACCCAAATTTGTATTATTTTAGCATATGACTTCTTGAATCAACTATTGATGTATAGGCTAAAGAAATGAAGACATAGCTAGTTCTAAAGATAACCTTCACTTTAGGATGGATAATGGCAAATGTACGTGAGGCACCAACCAAAAGGATTGTGAAGAATCAGCAATATATAGGGTTCAAGATATCTTTAAAAGTAACCTTGAACTTCCATAAGAAAGTACTGTATGAAATCATTCCTAATGGAGAGGAGGCACCATGCAGACTTTTCCATTTGCATTCCAGTACACCAGAAAGTTGCCTCAGCTTTTACTCCAGAGAAGATTTAGACAAAGGTTTCTGTGGAGGAGCAATGGTTCCACGTAAGAGGTCACTTGAAGAACTGACAGAAAACTGGAGAGAGTCAGCTTCTCTATTTTTACTGATTTCCTGTGAGCCTTGGCCTTCAAAAGGGCAAGTGGGATCATTCAAAGACTTCCAAAGCATGGTAGTCTCAACAGTACCAAAGACTGATTGACCTGCATTATCCCCTTCAATAAATATCGTCTATAGTTCTGGAAGACTCATGATAAAAGCTGAAGAATCCACTGGCTCTCTCTTCCATGTCACCGCCATATGAAACTTGGTCTCCAACTCATCAAGATACTTCTATTTCTCAAACCACTCCTTGCTTTCACAAAATCAATTTTCTGTATTCTCTTAAGGGCCTGAAATTGGGTCATCAAAAAGTCTTCTTGCATGCTCTCAGATGTCTTGCACAGAAAATGTTTCCTTATTCTTTTGCCCATCCTCACTCCACAAGTTAAACATCATTTCCATCTTCAAGTTACAAGGGTAAAACATTTTTTTTAAGTGATATAGATGTATAGGAAGCAATAATGACTTGGATAGAATGTTTCACTTTCTTAATTATGAATTGTGGATTTATTATTATCATATAAGAATTCCATGAAGCCTTTGATTTTACCTTGAAGGAGCAGATGTCCTTCTTGTTTCCTTCTTACCTTTCTGGCAACTTTCTATGTGGCTGGAGTCCTTGTACTTGCAATATGGTCAACTCCTCCACAGTCACATGTATTGATGCTGTCTGTGTGCCAGCTTTATGCTAGTTAATACAACTTGACAATTCCTTACTAGAGATTTTATATCCCTGATTTGTCACTCAGTATTAGCATGTGATATTCTAACACCCAATGGTACCATGAATAACATAGAGATAAGCAATAATATATTACTATGATACTCATTGAAAATGGGACTGACTGTGTAGGGGGTAACTTACAGAATAAGAGGGGAAACGAATAACTCAGAAATTTCTTCCTACCTTCAGATACAGTCAGAAAGACAATAATGTGGCAACTTGAGACAGATTCTCGAATATGCAATTCAAAATTTTCAGAGCTGCTGAAAATATTTACAGAAGGAAATCCACCTATACTCAAATTACCAAAAAACAACTTACAGTTAGGAATGGATTACTATAACTTCTACTCAAAATTATCAGAAAGAAAGTCACTGTTTATATAATCAAGATAGTATAGTTTCTATCATTCCCTTATGCTAAACACTATCAATCCAGTTTTATGTGAAAGGCAAGAATAGCAGCATAAGTGCATTAACTGTAAGCCCACCATAAATCAATATAACATTTTCCCCTGAAGAAAAAAAGAAGTAACCTTAGAAAGTGTAGATGCAAAGGCCAGATAGGCCCTGTATAACCAGTGTTTGAGAAATTACTACCCAAGAAAGAAAGTGACAGAGAGAGAGAGAGAGAGAGAGAGAGAGAGAGCGCAACTAGCCCCTATCGAATGCCCGACCACTGATACTTTACTTTTATCCCCTCCTCCAGGGAAGATAGAGCGAAGCCTGGCTTTCTTATTCTTCTCTTCAGGGGCCATGGGAAGAGGTTTGGAGCTGTGGTTGAGTGCAGAAGAATCCCGGTTGTTACTATTCATCCTCAGTGGGGGAGCTGGGGGTTTCTCTTCATTATCCAGACCGTCAGACATTTTCAGTTACAACAGATTGTATTGCTCCTAAAGAAAAGAAGGAGGAAACAAGAGTTAAGGCAGGGGGAAAAAATCATAAAATGATTCTTTCCCACTAAATAGGGGCATTCTAGTCCATAGAGAGTTGTGCTGTTAGCTGAAGGGATCTGTGGGGATATGAATGCACAAGCAGGTCTGAGGGACAGGTGTGATTTACAGTCTCTGAAACCCCGCTGGAGGGTTAACTATGAGTCGGTTCCAACTGGAGAGCAATGACTGACATTTTTAGCATCTTAGAAGAAAGCACTGGTGGCATAATCCACAGGGTGTTGCGATGATAACACAAAGGCAACTGGTGATTCACATCAACTCTTCCCATGCAATTTGAAGTCTCTAGAAACTTGCCATTTTTACTGTCTCCAGCTTTGTACTGAAAATTTTTATTTCCTGAAGGAAGCTCTGATGACTTAGTGGCAAGAAGCTGCACTGCAATCCCAAAGGGACATGGTTCGAGTTCACCAGCTTCTCTGTGGAAGAAGGATGGGCAATCACCTCCCATGTGATTAAATGCCTCTGAAAACCCACCAGAGGGTCAGTTATGGGTCAGGCCAACTCTAAGGTACACAACAAGAAGAAGTTTTCTCAGAGAGAAGTAGGTTTCCTCCCAAAGACCCATGGTATCCTTCCCAAAGGCAGAATGTAAAGACAATAATTCATGGCTTTTGACTATATATCAATGAATACTTAAGAATCTTAGCTTTTCCTCTGATAAAATTTTATACTCCCTGCTGTCCACTCAGTCTTTTAATAATCTGTCTTCTTTAAAAATGCTAGGCTGGTGGTCATCATTATCAGGTAGAACAACTTCAGCTTGAAGTTGATACAGATTTGGCTGCTGACTTTTCATGTTAGTCACTTTCTTTTGGGGGGTGGTGTCTGCCCATTCTGTCTATATCTGATTTACAGAGTGCATCCCTACTGTTTGATGGACATGAACTAAGAAACAAATCTGGCAATTTCACAAAGTCAGAACTATTAAGTGGAATGATGCCTCATCTTCTCCCATGCTGCTTTTTGTTCTTAGGTGCCGTGAGTGGGCTCACAGCAATCCTAGATACAACAGAAATGCTAGCAGATGTAAGATGGGCAAGATATCATCATGGGTAAAGAGACGCTCCAGAGGGAAGGGTCACTTCCTGAGGAGACACCAAAATCTTACGCTCTATCATTTTTCTGGAAGAGAGGGCAACAATACAGTTGACAGGTGGAGTAGAATTTTCACAATTTATCTGCTCTTCATTTCATTAATGTTTAGTATTTTGTGTCTAGGATGGGTAAAGTGAACTAGGAAAGTGTGGAATCCCCAAGGCAATTCTCCTGTTTCCGATGTCTTCCTACTCTAATGCAAGTCCTTCCATGAGGGCCCTGACACTTCTCAATGCCAGCCAGATGATAAGAATACCTTGCCAGTAAACTCCCAGTTGGAGTACAAGGAAAATCAAACCTCATTATGATAATATACCAATAAATTTTCTATTTGTGGTTGTTGTTGAGTATACCCTCACCAAACTCATAGCTAACCCTCTAGTGGGTTTTCAGAGGCATTTAATCTTATGGAAAGAGATTGCCCATCATTCTCCCATGAATCTGAACTTCATGCCTTTGGGATGACAGCACAACTCCATATCACTAAGCCACCAGAGTTTCCTGAACTTGGAGTTGTTATTGTGTACCGAGTTAGAATCAAGCCATAGAGGACCCACCAGTGGGTTTTCAGAGGCATGGGAGGAGATGACCCATCTTTCTCCAGCACAGAAGCTGGTGGAATCAAACCATGTACCTTTGGGTTGGCAGTGCAACTCCTTACCACTAAACCACCAGAGCTCCCTCTGGTAAATTTACTATTGTTTGTGTTTACCATCAAGTCAGAACCGACCCATCGCTGACCCTCCAGTGGGTTTTCAGAGGCAGTTAATCACACAGGTGGAGACTGCCCATATTTCTCCTGTGAAGCAGCTGGGGAGATTCCAACCACCAGGATTGCAGCTTAGCTTCTTGGTTAGCATTAATTCAGGAACAAAAGAACTCTCCAAAAATGATCCCATTATGCCAACAGCATTTTAGTCTGAGAAACCTAAGTACAACAACCACCAAAATAGGGGTCTCTTGGTTAACTGCTATAATAATGAAATAATCCTCACAACCGCAAACACACCTAAACCAATTAACATACGCACTGCTCCGCAGAAACCTTGAATGACCTGTATGCTGCAAACAAAGGAAGAAGTCAATGGGGACAAGCTTGAGCACAAGTCGGCTCACCGGGCAGCAAGTCCAGTTAGTCTTCTTTAATGTCTCTTGGCAGTGAAAGCACAATTACTGACCTAGAAGGAATCAGTGTCACACAAAGATGGAGATGTGTGAAAATCGGGTCAGCAAGGCAGTGAGTTAAGAGAATGGCTCTTAGGGCTGGAGGTCATAGTTTTCTTTCGCCCTCTAGTGGTTTGTAATGTGTTCATTCTTTTCCAAAATTAACAATAAGTTCTATCATGATACCTTGAGAATTTTTTAATTACCATATTACAAATTCTTTTGAATGCATTCAGTTTGTAAGTACTTGAGAATAGGTCAGTATTAATATATTCTTAACCTGCATATGTAACTGTCAATTTTTTTGACTTGCACAAGAAATAAAAAATTCATGGACTGCATATTGTTAACCAATCAAGACCAAATTCTCTGTATTTCAGTAGCTGTGTTAATGAAATTACTCAGTAATAAATGTCTTCATGGCAATGACAATAATTTGATAAGCTTTATTTTTTTCAATATAGATAAAACTATAAAGAATATTTATCTGTATTTTTCAATATAGATGAAACTATAAAAAATATTGAAAATGTCAAAGACCAAGAATATTCATGGACACTACTCATACTAGTAAATATTTTAACTCAAATATTAAATTACTGCTAATCTGGAGCTCTAGTGGCATAGTGGCAAGAAGCTGTGCAGCAATCCCAAAGGCACATAGTTCAAATCCACCAGATTCTCTGTTGGTGAAGGATGGACAATCTCTTCCTGTGCCAGTCAGATCCAATTTGACAGTACACACACACACACACACACACACACACACATTTACTAATTGGTCTACATTCTTCATTGCATTTTGATTGTTGGTCTTTCTAAATGGAATGTTTTTTTCTGGAAGAGAAGTGAGTTCAAAAGACTTAACTTTACTTGGCAGGTTTGTAGTTTGAGTCACTAAGAAATCTGCCACCAGAAACAAGGTTCTATATATGTATATTTTGCTTTTATTATTTTTTGTGTTTAGTTTTTCTTTATTTTTTCTGGGTTCAAAAAAATGGCTAGCTACAAGATTACTATCATCTAAGTCTCTGCAACCCAAAATATAGCTTAGGTAAAAGTAATATTTTCAAAAGTATTACAAAGGAACTGAACCCTTGAAAATAAATACTTAAAAGAGGCATATACGCTTCACAGGAAGAAAGCCACCACTTTCTGGGTGACATATTTTCCAATGACACACTACTTAAATTTAGATGACAGATGTCAGGGAAATAAGCAAACCCTCTCTAAAATGATAAAGCTGATCCTGCATAATAAAGTAACTAAGCATTTGGATCAGTCCATTTTCCAGTGCACATAGTAATCAAAAACACTATCTCCCTTTGCTCTTGATAAGGTTCGTTGTTGTTATGTGCCATTGAGTTGGAACTGACTCCTAGTTGATCATCCAGTGGGTTTTAGAATCTGTAAATCATGCAGGAGGAGACTACCCATCTTTCTCGGGAGTTGTAGCTGGTGGATTCCTTATCACAAGGCCATCTGAGCTCCCTCCAGATAAAGAGGTGGCACTAACATCAGAGTCAGGAACTCTGGTAGTACAGGCATTAAAGTGCTCACCTGCTAACTGAATGGTAGGTGGTTTAAACCCACTAAGCTAATCCATGGGAGAAGTGTAGCTATCTGTTGCCATAAAGATTAATAAAAAAACTCATTCCCCTCAAGTCAATTCTGATGCATAGACCTATAGGACAGAGCAGAACTGCCCCATGGATTTCCAAGGCTACAGTCATTATGGAAGCAGATTCCAATATTGTTCGCCTAAAGAGTGGCTACCAAAGGAAAAACCTCAGAAAAAAAAAGTTGCAAATAGAGATACCATTTGACCCAGCAATTCCACTACTGTGAATATACCCCAAAGAGACCATAACTGACATCCAAGCAGATATATGCACACCCATGTTTATCGAGGCTTTGTTCACAATAGCAAGGAGTTGGAAACAACCCGAGTCCATCAACAAACAATGGAATAGTATGCTGCATTGAAAAACAAGGAACTTATGAAATACTGTTCAAAATGGGTGACCTTGGAGGACATTATGCTGAGTGAAATATCTCAGTCACCCAGGGACAAATACTACATGGTACCACTGTTGTAAAACAGGACTGACATCGGGGTTGAGGGGAGACTGAGAAAGATGGGATAAATAATGTATACTGCATTGAAACAGATGAGAGAGAAAACTGTTTAAAAGTGACATGTGATTAGGTAATTTTTGTCATGACAGGAGTCCAGAGTGAAGGCTGCATAGTGGAGTGGACCTGGCGGGAGGGATTGTAAAACAATGATAGAATTTTTCTTTTACTTTTCAAAGAGGGGGAGGGGTGGGCAGGGAGAAAAGTATAACAATGAATGAATGGAAATCCAAAGTCTCTGTAAATTTTCATTAAAATTAATAATAATTTTAAAAAATTTAAAAATAGGGAAAAGAAAAGAGTGGCTGATAGGTTTGAACTACTGACCTTTTGAATAGCAGCTGGGCACGTAACTAACATTCCAATAAGGTTCTTTTGTGTAAAGATTACAGCCTTGGGAACCCTATGGGAAAGTTCTCTTCTATCCTAACTAGTCACTGAGTCTCAATTAAACAGTCACGGGTTTTGAATATAAGAGTTGGCTTTTATGGCTGTTAATGGCTGCCTTTGACTTTTTTTCAGGCTGCCTGATTAAACTAGGT